CTGCTGATTAGGAATAAAGTGATAAGTGGATACATTTTCTTGTATTTGTTTTATGCTTAGTTTCATTGTTTTTGAAAAATAGAAAAACAACTACAAAAACAGTTCTGAAGTCTGTAAATGAACACGTGTATATCCTTTGTACAAATACACTTCTGCAGAATGCTCAAAGGCATTGTTCTATTGAAAAAAAACCCTTTTCTTTAAAATGTATGCTACAGACTAGGTAAATCCTTACTAATATAATTTTTATTCGTAGTTGAAGTTCTGAATTAGGCATTGATGTATGTTTTCTGAAGACAAATAGCTGCAAAAATTTAAATACTTAAAGGCATTTCACAGAGTTATAATACATATGAATACATTAGGTAACAGCAGATGGACCTGTAAAATTGTGTATTCTGTATTTTTCTTTGCAGAAAACAAGCAGTCATACACGATTTGGGATTTTGAACAATCCTTCATCAAAAATAAAGGAAGATAACACAGCCATTGCGAGAGGAATTTTGACCGCTTTTCTAACCCAAAACAACACCAACTTAAAAAATATCCTAAGTAAACTCAGTAAGGAAGAGACAGCAAAATCACTTGCTGCTGGAACTAAAATTGCTAAATTCCTCATCCCAGTGAGTGCAAACTAAATTAGACTACTTTCTTTTTCACTTTGTATATATTTTATTGTAAGGAGATGTTGTTCAGAGTAACAGTGTTTGGTCAAATGCTATGAAGTTTATAACTCTTATACGGTTTGCCATATACCATCTGCTCAAGCAAATTTGGATTTTTTACAACCTTTATGTGGTGGAAGAATAGAGACTTTCCTTAAAGTAAAGGAAGAAAATATGAGAGTACTGAAAAATATAGAGTACAAATGCTGGATTATTGAGACCAAAATAGTTTAATTTTTAATTGTTGATTTAATTTTTTTATAGCTTGCTCTTAATTAAAATTACAGTATTAATGTTTGTAAAGAATCAAGAATTCAGAAGTAACTGGTTTTACCTTGCTGTTGTTGGTGTGAGCAAAAATAGGCACACGCTGGAGTGGTTGAGGTTAACCAGCATTGTATACTACTGGACAACATTTTCTGGTGTGTTTCTGTGAAAATTCATTGGTTAAAATGCAAATGTTGCTGATTTCAAAGCTCACACATAGCATGGAGCTGAGTTATCAAATAACAGCTGCAAACTACAGTTTTTTTTTCAGGAGGAGCTGTAAATTGTAGTATTTTCATATAGCAAGATTTGGAAGACTAAGAGAACTCTCTGTCTCAGTATTGGAAAATTATTAACTGGTTTGGGTCATGTTCTTATTTTATTGTCTAATAAATTTTGAAAGACATAAAGATAGCTAATTAAGCAGTGTACGCATGTTACTAAGCTATTTTGTTGTATTGATTGTATCTCGATGGATCTATTTGTTTGATCTGTATATTTCTAATGAAGAAATGCATATTGGTAGAGTTTAACATAGCAGGATAATTCTGGCAGGTGAGGCACAGTGCCATTGTAAGCATGGCAAAGTTCCAGCATTTTTTTCCCCACTTGGAACTTTGATTTGTTATGTGTCTTACTGTTGGCTTCCCCAAACCCTGTTTAAGCTGTATCCAATGACACATTGAGATGACTGTTAGGTTTTTAGAGTATTATGGATTTTTTTAATACCTTTTTCCTCAAAGTGAGAATACAGTTCAGTTGATAACAGAGAATTCTATTTTTCATGCAGCTGTGTGCTGGATCGTAGAAAAAAGTGCTTAACCTCAGGCTCAGCTTGCCTGTCAAGGTTATTCACAGTTGCAGAAGGGTGCAAACTGCACACTTGCTAGTTGGGATACTGTGGCTCCACACCAACAGTGGATGTGTTACATTGAAGCTGGGGTGGTTGTTTTATTTTGATTTCTGGTTGTCACATAACTGGAAGAAAATCTTTGATTACTTCAGCTGTTACAAAATTTATTTTTGCTGAATCATTCCACCATCTCATGCTTTACCTTTGCTTTAGGGAATGGATGATAATACTTTTGAGAAGAAGTACAACACTTTAGGAGTGGATATAATTAAAACCCACCAGATGTTCTGCCAGGAGGTTCTTAAGCTGCTTCCTGGGCAAATGGCTGTTATGAGCAATGGCAGGGTAAGAAAAACATTGTCGTCTCTCGGTCTTTTTGTAGGCATTTTTTACCTCCTGGAACTTCAGTTTCAAGCTGAAGAAAATGCATTATATTGATTTCCCACTTATTCAACCTGTTGTTAGAGAATGGTATGAATTGGTTTTTATTTTGTTTTACTCCTAATTTGTTTATTAGCTCTTTTCTATTGAAGCTGCTATGTACATACATCATTCCCATAGCTATTTAAGAGTTAATCTGACAAAATTTTCTAAATAGCGTAACATGCGATGTAGTATTAGTTATATTTAAGAATAAATTTTTATCCTGAAGTTACCTATATTTTACACATTTGGGATAAGATAAACTGAATATATAATAAAAAAAAATTACATTGACTAGGGTAGTTTTTCAAGCTCTAAAACACCAAATTGTTTATAAATATTAAGTTTTCTATGGTCTTAATTCTTAATGTTCAAACAAAAGTATAGTAATTTTGTTGTTTCAATTTCTTGTATGTATATTCTGAAACCAATAACCTTTATTACAGTGTAGCTATAGATGAACTGTGATTAAAAATACAGTATTGGGTTCAATATTTGGTACTTGCTATTGACAGTCACTACCTTACATTACAAATACAATTGATAGAAATTACTCTTTGAGGTAACTCTTCTCTATTTTCTATTTACGTTAGCATCTCATTGCTGGAAACTCTCTTTAAATTGTGTTCTTAGTTACTCTTGTGGATCCGAAATGGCTTTTGAGTTACAACTGAAATACCACCAACGAACCCACAGAAAGCATTTTTGTTGATGAAGCATAAAAGAATTGTGTTGTTTTTTTTGTGTCAACACCCCCCCCATAACTAAATATGCAATGTTATTTTATAAATTGTTATTACTAGTTTGCATGCCTAAAAAAGCTCAAATAATATAATATTTTAAGTTTTGAGGAAATATGTTTCTTAAATACTTGGATAAATTTGATAATGTATATTAATCTATCTGAAAGTGTGCTTTCACTTTAAAAGATTACTTTTAAAAAAGACGTGGGATATCCTTCATTTCTATTCTTGCTATTTCAGCACTGAAGTTTTGTTTTTATAAGGAAATATTTTTTTTCTAATTATGACTTCTACAAAAGTAGCATGGTATTTCATAATCACAGTATGATTTTCCTTATCTCATGCATCATTAATATTAATTAAAAAAATCAAAAGTGGAATTTTGTTAGATAACCTCTCATCTCTACATCCTAGGAGCCCTGTAGGCTCTTGAAGTTGACTTGGGTCAGTTTGACCTGGTTAGACTGTGAGCAGGAAATCCAAACAACATCCTCAAAGCTATTTTCTGGGACTTCAGGGCACCTTCTTTCCCATCAGACACAAAAAACCATAGTAGTTCTGTTTCTTGTCTCTTGATATCTTATCATTGGCTCTTTTCTTCCTTTCTATCCATTCTGCTTCATAAGAGAAGCCTTGAGAAGTGAAGATTGTGTTCACAGAATTAAACAACTAAAGAGTGCGGTAGGCAGATAGTAATTTGAATTTCAGTTTAAAATAATGTACTTAATATACTTTTTCTTAAATTTAGATTTGTTATTTCTAAATATTGTACTCCTTTACATAGGTAGGTATAACAAAAAGCATCATTAATATTTCCATTGCAGCTGCTCTTTGTGGTTGGTCATTAGCTGTAATTATGTTACTGTAAAAACCTAATCCTGCATAGTTACTATACAGTTTAATACTATATAGTTAATAATATTGATGCATATAGGGCTGGGAATTGCATATTGAATATTGTGCATTCATTTAAAATATTAGTGTTTGCTTACAGAAGAAACATTATTGGGACATTCTACACTTAGTAACATTTTTTTCTTTAAGGTACTGGGTCCTTTAGATGAAAATGAATTCTATGCAGAAGACTTTAATTTGTTGGAAAAAATAACATACAGTACCTCAGCGGAGAAGATTAAAGCTATTGTCAAAGAGATGGGGAACAGTAGTAAAAGGTGAAATTCTTTTGCATTTTGAGGCTTTATGATATACTGCATTGTTTATTGCCTGTGACTAATAATCCTTTTGCATGGGAAATATGAACAAAGGTTCAAATGTATAGTCACAGTACTCTTCATACGATATACTCATACATCTACACTCCACATGCACTTAGTCAAACTGTTGTTTGCGTGCTATATGTTTGCTCTCCTCTTACTTAGCATCCGAGTACCTTTACATATGCAGGTTTAACTGTCCTTCATTTCATTTTGGCATTTTCCTGACTGACTTGGTATATTTACCTACTCAAACACTTGCTCTATTTTCTAGAAGAAATGACACATCTGCTAAATTTTATATCACTTTTATGCTTGGCTAATTATGCTACTTAACATAGGTATGCACTAGATATATATAAACTGTATATGTTGGTTTTCAGCCGAACCATGTGTCATTGACCCTGCTGCTAACAGCCTCTTTGGTATCTCATTGTTACAGTACAAAGCAGGAAAAAAAAGCACCCCGTGTTATTCAAGAGACATGCAAACTTTTGTTTGTGTGATCAGGTTAAGGCATAAGAGATCGCTGCTTATCCAGAGAATCATATCCTCTCTAACTTGCCTCATATCATGTGCACAGCTCTGCTAAATTACTCCAAATACTTTATCTAATTTCACTGAATTTACAACCCAGAGGGAAATACAGCTAACTAAACAATTCCTACTAGCTTTTGTTTACTTAAGAGTAGTTATAAAGCATAATAATAAGCTTGATAAAATCCACTGCATCTTAAAACCCCAGTAATATCTGAGTATTGATATTGTAAGTAAGAAAGTGCATTGTCTTTGGGAACTGTTAGAAAAGGAGCCTGTAGAGGCATGGGCAGATGTGGTGCTCTGACACTCTTCACACATCTGTTAATTGAAGAAATGTAAGAATGAGTTCTAGCCAGCTTTTAATCTAAGGATTCAGTTTGTGTACAATGAAGAGAACAAAATTATATTATTTTTATAATATCTATTGACTTCCTGTGTCTCAGTATCATTTCTGTTATCTGTAAGGACTGACACAACTGAAAGACTTAACTACCAGAAAAAACAAATCAATAAGAGGTAGAGCTATCAAGGAGATAAGTAATGAGAGGCAAAACATATTTAATCAAATATTAAGACTTGGTGACACTGAAATAGAACTACTAAGGTTTCTGAGGAAATTCCAGTAAGAAATACCAAAAAAAAATTCAAAGATGTGGCCAAGCAAACCTGAAACTTGTTCATTTATGTTTGTTCCTAGATGTTTTCAAAAATTGCAAAAGGTAAAAAAAAAAAAAAAAAAAAAAGAGCTGTAAACTTCAGCAGATTGTACCATGCAAGCTCTGAAGCTGAATGGTAATCCTGCTAATTCTGCATTGCTTAATTCTTAGAAATGTACAGTTGAGAAGCTCTAAGGCAGTTGTGGTTCCTGAGCATTGTCATGCTAAGTGTTTTACTCAAAGCTACAAATCTCAAGGTGATAATCTTTTTGAAGGATTCAGGATGTGGGCTTTAAAATACCCTTCATGTAGACAGACATACCTTAAAATGTGAACATGTTACTCCTTTTCTAACGAAACACAAATTATGTGTCCTTATTTAATACAGTGGCAGTGATTTGATTATGAAAATAGATGCCCTACTGTCATCTTTGCCTAAAACAGAGATGAGGCAAGATGCTGAATTACTCAAAGAACAACACAGGTAAGTTCTGTCTGCCATGATAATGCACTTAGAGTACTTTCATATGAAAATTAGAATGTACCGATTACTACATAAGCTCTTTGAAAACGTAAGTAAGCATTCCAGTTTTAAAATAAGTTGATTGTAGGGTTGTATGAACAACCTATTCATCTGCCCTAGTGTAATGCATCTTTACCTCTTTCTTAATAAATTAATTAGTAATACCTAATGATTTTCCAGCCTTATCCTTTACTGCAAAAAAAGTGATTACAGTCAGTGTGAATAGGGGTGGTGATCTGGATTTAGAAAACTTGGGAGTCCATACATTTACTAAAATGTTAGAAGTAATTCACAGATTAGAGCTAAAAGAAGCCCCCGCTAATTTTCATTAATGTGGAAAACTCTAGCACAGCTTTTTCTGTTTGTGGAACTCGAGTACTATTGAAAAGGCTACCAAACATGTTTACATTGTATAACAGCTTGTGGTTTAGCAGTCTCTCCTTGACCGTAACTCCTGTGCTCAGCTTGACTCTAAAATACAATTAGATTGGACCCTAAAGTAAAACTAGATTCTATTCAAGTGCATACTGATAGGTCTCGTTGGCACTTAATTCCTGAAGAAAAACTGAGCAGACTGTCTTCAGGTAACAGATTTCCACTTAATAAACTCATATTAGTGTCATTAGTGCATTTATTTGTCTGTTGGCCCCTTGCATTTCTGATCCTAGATTTAGAAAATGAATATGTCACAGGCATTGTCTTTTGTTGTCATTGTTAATCAATGAGACCTTAAATACCAAGATGTGCATCTGTGAGTCTTGGCATCTTTGTAACGGAATACCAACAGTAGGCATTTTTAATCTAAGCTTAGCTGGGGCAAGCTTTCTGCAGCAAAGACAGGTACATTTTTAAAAGGACATATGATAGTACAAGAACCATGATAAAAATAAAAAATTTTAATGCTATTTCCAGATCCTTACTTGTTTTTAGTGGTAAAGCTGCTTTGGTGTGCTCTGCTGATGTACTGGCCCTGTCTAATACTTGTCGAAAGACACGGAGTGAAGTCGGTAGTCTGTTTTAAGTGGCTAACACCTTTTCCAAGGTTATACTAACAGGGAGTAGTATGCTACTACCATATTGGAAGGAGTTTGACTCACTAACGGTACTCACAGTTCTAGGTATATTTTTTTTGGAAAACAAATTCAGATAGTCCATTTTGTGTATTTACAGGGCATGATTTTTTTTTTTTTAAAGTACTAAGTTTTACTAACATTTTCTTCCTGTAGATGCAGAGTGCTTTAGCTAGGGTCTCGTTGACTTTGTCTAACCAAATTTATCAAACTAAATTATTTTCTGGACTGCATAGAGCTAATTCATCCTATCAAGTTTCACACTTCTCAGTTGCCCGTTTTTCCAACTGTTATTTTAAAATTGTGTTACTGCTGGCACTTATCAAATCTGATGATTCTACATATCGGTAAAGGAAACTGTGGACCAGTGACAAAAAGGCCATTCTTAAAATTTTGCTGTGGGTTTTCCTTTTATTTTATTGATTTTGTAATGAGGGCTGTATTTAATCAATAACCAGTATGAAACTATGTAGATTAATGCTAAATTTTAACTGCAGTTCACGTTTAGCTTTTCTAGTGGTGTCACCAGGAGCAATAATGTTTAACTGCTTGAAATGAGGGAAATGTCTTCACAAGCAGTAAAATCTAAAGTGACTCTGATACTACAGATTTGTGCCTAAAAGTGTTCTAAACTTAATTTGTGGAATTTTCATGTCACTTATTTATTAACTTTTTTTAACAGTGTAGTAAAAGTTGATCCCCAACAGAATGAACCATTCTATGATGTTATTGCTATTGTGGATCCATTGACAAGAGAAGCACAGAAGATGTCTCACTTATTGATTGTAAGAGGGTGGTCATTTCTCTTAATTTACACATTTGTAGTTTAATCTTTACTAAACTTTTTCTTATTTCCATGTACAGTGTAGTAAAGGGGTAAACAAAATTTAGGTATTTTTAAAAATATATATTTCTTTATTTAAATTAATATTAAAAAGTTGGCAAAATCTAATTCATCACTGTAAGTACCTTATTTGCAAATAAAATTCAGATGCCCCATGAACCAGTCCTCTTAAAAGTGAGTCCATAAATGCTCTTTACAGTTAATAGAAGGAAAGGAGGAGATTGTCTGTGTAATACAGAGCAAAACGATCTCCTGTCTCAAAATCTTAAGAGGCATATGCTTTCCATTCAACCAAATCACCTTAGTTTTCTGAGGTACCTAAATGAGGTGGTCTAAGTTTCTCCTGTAATATCATCATAAGAAGATTGGACTATAAACCTTTCAGCTCGTGGAAGGGTATTTCTCAGTTGATTAATGCTACCACATATATACAGAAGTCTTCCAACAAGTGTAGCTATTGATCATCTAAAGAGAGACTGTCCTATGTACATAGCTCCTAAAATTATTTTCTTTTTTTCACTAGCTGTAGAATATCACTCTACATCAGGTTCCTTTATAGTTTCCTATTAAAAATGTAAATTTTGTCTTCTCTTTATGGTCTGTTGAAATTCTGAATCCTGTAACTTGATTTTTGCTGCATCTTGTTTTATCTTTTTCTCTGTAGTAATTATGAAAGTTTCATGAATCCTTACATTGCTTTTTCTCCTCCCATTTTCATACCCTTTTATGCCTTTTGTATCAAATGTTGAAGCATCTGCTTACTCTTCATACATAATAGTGAAGCAAAGTAAAACATTTAAAAATTCAATGAAAATTCTGATATTTCAAGACTCTGAAATACTAGCTTTTCTCTAGAACCAGGTCTTTCATTTCACCATTCTTGGTAAAAATGAAAGCTCAATATTAACACATGAAAATATTTTCATTTTGGAATTGACTGGAAACTCTCTGCATTCATCTGGAAGTTCATATTATGGTAAATTAAGTATTAGCAGCAGGTCAAAGGAGGTGGTTCTCCCCCTCTACTCTGCTCTCGTGAGACTCCACCTGGAGTACTGTGTTCAGATGTGGGGCCCCCAACATAAAAAAGACCTGGACCTATTGGAGAGAGTCCAGAGAAGGGCCACAAAATTAATCAGAGGGCTGGAGCACCTCCCCTATGAGGACAGGCTGAAAGAGTTGGGGTTGTTCAGCCTGGAGAAGAGAAGGCTTCAAGGGGACTTAATAGCAGCCTTCCACTACCTGAAGGGGGCTACAGGAGAGATGGGGAGGCACTCGTTATCAGAGAGTGTAGTGTCAGGACAAGGAGTAATGGGTATAAGCTGAAAGAGGGTCAATTTAGACTAGACATTAGGAAGGAATTTTTCACTGTGAGGGTGGTGAGGCACTGGCACAGGTTGCCCAGAGAAGTTGTGGATGCCCCATCCCTGGAGGTGTTCAAGGCCAGGCTGGATGAGGCTTTGAGCAACCTGGTCTAGTAGAGTGTGACCCTGCCCATGGCAGATGGGTTGGAACTAGATGATCTTTAAGGTCCCTTTCCAACCCCAACCACTCTATGATTCTATGATTAAAATAGTTCTCTGAGCTTTACTATATTCAACAATTTACTGTATACAACAGTCTTAGTAAGAGTGAAAGTCATTGTTTTAAGCTTGATTATTGAATAAGAGGCACATGTACTTACAAACTTTAAAGTGCTTAAATCTTCTAGAAAACAGAATATAAGAAAGGTGATAATATAATTTACTCAAGCATTGGAAAGTGGGGATAGCTGCTCTTTAAAAAACTGCATTACTAGGGAAAAACATTAACAAGGTGACTATCAAGAATATCATGTGCTAAATCATGCAGTTTTAGAAAAGGTCAAATCTTTATTTGGAGTATCTGACAACATCCCTTAATACTCAGATACATTTGGAACTTTAAACTGTTTGAGATTTCTACTGAAGCTTGAGAAATGACAGGATGTCACAATGATAACTTTGGCTTATTTTCAAAGTTTGATGATTATGCAGAACCATTTTTTACACACATTTTTTTTTTTTCTCTAGGTGCTCAAAGACATCATCAATATGAAACTCCGGTTGTTTTTGAACTGCAGATCTAAGCTGTCAGAAGTGCCACTGAAGAGGTAAGTAGTTTATGGCTTTTCTTACAAATGCAGGATCTCACTTGGTTTAATAAAAAAAAAGCCATAGAAGTATATATTTCCTTAAAAAATAAACAGTGGTTTATGTTTCTGGATTATTTTGTTGCATTAGTTATTTTCTTTGAATGTAGAAACAGTTTGCATTTGTCTAGAGAAAAATTCTAAGGTGTCAAGCATGGGATCACAGGGAACTGATCTAGTCCATCAGATGCACCGCTCCTAAACAATCCTTAGAGAAATCAATGGAGAATCTTTCATGACTGTGAAAACTTGCAGAGGGAGATTGTCTGCCTGACTTGGTCACTTCTTACAGCCCACTTACTGAGTAATGAATTTTACAGATTAAGTACACTGAAATTCCTCTGAATGAATGTACAGTCTGCATTTGAGATCTCTTTATAATTCATTAAGAATGTTATACCTTGAAAGTACCTGCCTTAAAATGAAGTTTCTTTCAACTGGCTGTGAGGACCAAGGTTCACTAATTCGCTTATAGGCATTTACACTGAAGTGAACTCCCCAGAGAGGATTCCTTTCCCTCTAAACAAAAGCTTTAAGCACTGCCGTCCCTTTGGCAGATACGGTACCTATAACCTTATTATGAAAGAGAGCTGGTAATAATAATAAACACACTTTGCAGGTGTTAGTGCTTGGTTCTTTCCCTGTGCTTCAGAAAGGTGAGAGGAAAAAGTTTTCTGGCAACACTTAGAGAAGTTGAAGATGCCCCATCCCTGGAAGTGTTGACGATCAAGGTGGATGGGGCTTTGAGCAACCTCATCTAGTGGAAGTTGTCCCTGCCCTTGGCAGGGGGTTGGACTAGATGATCTTTAAAGATTCCTTCCAACCCAAACCATTCAATGATTCTATGAGCTGCCCTGCAGAGAGGTTATATTTTTCTTACAGCAATGGTTTCATATGAAGTGCATTCATATACTAGCCCAAATACTTAGTATGACTTGTGTTCCTCCTGATGGTTACAGGAGGAACTTTTCATAGTAATGAAATGTCCTTTTTCACCCCACCCCCCTCCATGTGAAGCATTCTGCTTGCAGCTTTCACACTCTCCATCTTTAGTGCTCTTCTTTCTCTGTTCTGATTCTTCGCATTTTTGTTGAATGTCAGTAGAGGAAGGAAAAAAGTAATCATTATTTTGTTGTTACAAGGATCTTTTACCTGTGGAATAAATGGAGTAAGTGTTGGAGAGAAATAGAGGGACCTGTCCTTTCCTCTGCTCTCTGACTTTGCTCCTGCTAGTGTCAGGAGCTGTTCCCAATGACTCTTTCCTTCCAGAAAAGGTGAGTCCTTTTGCTTAGCTTAGTGATACAGATTCTGATAGTTCAAGGCATTTCACAGTCAAGACGTTTAGATTCACCTCTTGGGTATTCACCTTCCCAACGATTAAGAATGTTAATGGGAACTGTGCATTTTCAGAGCAAAAAATTATCAAAAGCAGATAGATCTGTGTTCATCTACCAGCCCATTTGAGATGCTGTAGGTATTGTCTGATGGTGTTCCAAAAGAACAGGGAGCTAGTGTGCCTGTCCATGTCATAAATTTGGTAAACATTCACTATATATAAAGTATTTTAGAAGAACTTCATGTTCGGAACTTTATGCTTCAGTAGATGTATTTTTTTGAACACTTCTTTTTCAACAGCTTCTATCGTTTTGTTCTGGAACCAGAATTAACTTACGGGATCAACAAGCACCTTCCTTCTGAACCTCTGGCAAAATTCCTGGAACTGCCAGAATCACCGCTTTTGACTCTAAACATGATCACTCCTGAAAGCTGGTTGGTTGAAGCAGTAAACAGTTCCTGTGATCTCGATAACATTCATTTACAGGATGTAAGTAATAGTTTGTAAACATTATAAAACTTGTGTTGGACCTTCTGCTTCCAGAGGGAAATGGAAATCTTGTTGGATTTTTGTCTCTTGTTTTCCAGGAATAGGTTCTGTGGTAATTGATTATTTGGTCAGTATTTTACCATTTTTATTTTCATCATATTTTTTTCACATGCTCTCTTACTTTAAAAAACCCCAAGTCTTAAAAGAAAGCAATGAAACAGAAAAAAATCAGAATGCAGAATTTGTCTGCTGTGTTGAGCTTTATAATGTTTATGGAAGTTTTTGGGTTTTTTTACATAAGAATAAAGCAATTAAGGGATTCTGTGTGCTAACATTCTATTTCTCTTTATTTTTAAAATATTTTTGGTAATAAGATTAATCTAGGTTAATTTTCAAATAAACCTGAATATACTGCTGTTTATTAATTTAGATTAAAATATATTTGACCTTTTTTTAGTTCACAGTTTTTTTGAATTATATTTTTAATCCCTCAGCTCCACTAGATTTGTTTCCGTCACTAAACCTATGCAAAATACTGAGGGTGTTTGATCCACCAAAGCTGTGTATTAGGAAGGTATATTGTGAAAATAAAGGTTGGAATTTACCTTACAAAGGTTGAGGTGCCTCAGCTTCTTCAACAGTTGATTGAGAGAAGATGCATCCAGACAATGATTTATCCTCTTTATATTGGATATCTATTTTAAAACTGAATGAAGTTCTTTCTGGAGGGGCCTTTCTCTTTTTTTTTTTTTTTTTTTTTTAGCTAGTTGAATTTAGATGAGGTAAATACCACACGTTTGTTGTTGTAATATGTTGATTTTTCCACATAGTTAAATTACATAATTTATTGATGAAATGTTCCTTCCACAGATAAAAGGGACAGTTACAGCAGAATATGAACTGGAATATATGTTGCTTGAAGGACATTGCTTTGATGTGACAGCTGGACAACCTCCTCGAGGGTTACAGTTTACTCTGGGCACAAAGAATAATCCTGTAATGGTTGATACTATTGTGATGGCCAACCTAGTAAGTATTAAGTACAGAAATAGTCATTACAGTTGCATGCTCTTCATGAGAATTCTTCATGAGCTTCTTGTTCTTTAAATCCATTTCTCTGTGTTGCAAGCTTAGTAATAATGCTAAAAGTGACAGGAGTATCCTGGAGTTGAGACCATGTACAAAAGAAGATGTGAATCTCTAATTTGCTGAGCTTTCCCCTCCTCCTCTTCTGATCCAGTGTAGGTTTGGATGTAGCCTAATTTTAGACTCTTATGTGAGTCTAAACTTGGAGCCTAATTGCCTTCAGTAGATGGTGGGAGGTAGTTATATTCAGATGGAGATTCCACTGACAAATATAAAGTGTGAATCACATTCTGATTAAAATAACCATTTTTGTTACACAATGATCCAGGCAAAAGATGATTCCTGGTTTAGATAGTTCTCTTAAGTGCTTAAGGCCTCTGTGGGACAAATCTACATCTGGGAATTCCTCTGGTCATTCAAAGTAATAACTTTTGAGTTTTTTGGTAATATGATAAGGAAAGATTAATTTTTATGCGTAAGATCGGTTACCTATCTGCTATTATATTTTCTCTGTAAATATTGTATCAGAAGAAATTAAATACTTAGTAAACTGTCTTTGATTTTTACACAAGTACTGAATACAATTTCAATAGCAGATAATGTTCAACATGATGAAACCTTTAATGATTCTTCACTTTTCAAAGCCTGCTTTGTCTGACTTTCATGTAGTGATAGCTGTATACAGTGTTCGTAAATTGGGAATGAGCTGTTGTTGACTTGGAAAGTTGTTCCAGGCAAAACTTTCAAGTTTTGAAGAAGCTTTTCAGTTTAGGGTCAGTTTAGTGATTTATTTATTTACTGCTCACTGTACACAGTGTAGTTTGTATACAATTCAAATTCAGCTAGAAACAAATGGAGCACTAAAATGCAGTAATATGGACATACAGGAAAGGTGATACTTGGTTGCATCACTGCCATATTACTTTCAAGGCTAACATGACAGTAGGTCATGGTCACTAACTTTTTCTGCAGTACCAAATGTTGAATAATTGATGTTTGTATGTGTGCATGGTTGATTCTGAAAAGCTGACAGAACAAGTAACTGTCTTTCCTTTTTTTCTTAGGGGTATTTTCAGCTGAAAGCAAATCCAGGTGCTTGGACACTGCGATTGCGTAAAGGAAGATCCGAAGAGATTTATCAAGTTTTTTCGTAAGTATTAATCTATCTTTTGGAAACATAAATGAATCTGAAAGTGCAACGTATTTTAAAAAGATCTGATAGTACTGAAGGAAAATGAGCAAAAATAACATCAAAAAATGGAATAAGAAGCAAATGATTGTTTAAAGTTTATGAGAGATACCTTATTTCCTGATAGTCTGAGTTGTTTGGTTGCTCCATGTGTTCTTGAAGGCATTTGGATCTGTTAATGCATAGTAAGCCTAAGATGCTCAGCTAGACTAGATACTAGCAAAATATGTTACTACATATCTACACAGCTACCAGACACTGTCCCTGTCAGTTCCAAGTATGGTTAGTGTTATCCTATAACTGCCTGCACCAAATTCTGTAGCAATGTCACTGGTTGTTTTGTTGAGAAATATTTTGGCATTCCCAACATACTGAACATGTAATTCCAAGAATATATCCACTGGAGCTTTTCTAGCTCTCCAGTAGCATCTTGATCAGTTGGAGCAAGTGCCATCAATTTCCCTCTCATAATTTTTTTCAGCCCTGAGGGTTCCTTGGAATGCACTGTTATTGATGGGTAGCATCTTTTTTTAACAAAAGCATTATATTCATTTCATATCTAGGCTTTTTTCCTAAATTAATTCCACGTATTTCTTAGTTTATAGAATCACAGAATCATAGAATGGCCTGGGTTGAAAAACACCTTAAAGATCATCTAGTTTCACCCCCCCTGCTGTGGGCAGGGTTGCCAACCACTAGAGCAGGCTGCCCAGGGCCCCATCCAGCCTGGTCTTGAATGCCTCCAGGGAGGGGGCATCCACTTCCCTGGGCAACCTGTTCCAGTGCCTCACCACCCTCTGCGTGAAAAATTTCTGCCTAATATCCAACCTAAATCTCCCCTCCCTCAGTTTAAAACTATTCCTCCTCATCCTGTCACTATCAACACCTGTAAACAGTCGCTCCCCCTCCTGTTTATAGGCTCCCTTCAGGTACTGGAAGGCCACAATGAGGTCTCCCCAGCGCCTTCTCTTCTCCAAGCTGAACAAGCCCAGTTCCCTCAACTTTTCCTCATAGGAGAGGTGCTCCAGCCCTCTGATCATCTTTGTGGCCCTCCTCTGGAGCTGTTCCAAGAGCTCCACGTGCTGGGGACCCCAGGCCTGGACACAGTACTCCAGATGGGGCCTCACAAGAGCAGAGTAGAGGGGGAGAATCACACCCCTCTCCCTGCTGGCCACCCCTTTTTTAATGCAGCCCAGGACATAGTTGGCCTTCCAGGCTGCAGGCGCACACTGCTGGCTCAAGTCCAGCTTCTCATCCACTAGGACCTCCAGCTCCTTCTCTGCAGGGCTGCTCTCAAGGAG